TTATTTTTAGGTTCTCCTCCAGCCCTAGAATTCTGAGGAAAGGGCCTCCCAGGATCAGGAAACAGCCCTAGAAAAGGTGCCAAGTGACAGAACAATAGGAAATGTTAGGATGGAGAGACAGTGGTGTATTGTTAAATTCTGGATTCTCAGATCTCTAAGCAAGTATTCTGAAGACTAAACAACAACAATGAAACCTTTACCTTTAGCTACTCTAATTTCAATGCTTTTGAGAAAGTTTTCTGAAGAATATTTCATTGTTAATTGTCTATCTATGGTGGCTTCTTGGTCTTTTAACAAACTGCATATGCTTTTGCTTCAGATTAATATAATTTCAGCTAATAACAATACTTCATCCCTTTACACTTCTTGAGGAACCCTCCATATAATGGCTTAAGTGAATCATCAGACAGTTAAAGGTCAATTCTTCAGTCTTGTTATTAGGTGCTTAATATGAACAGATTATTTTTGTGTCCTAATGATATAACCATATTTTTTGAAATGCTTGCAATATGGATTATTCAGATATTTTAAAGAAAAAGATTAGAAAGTAGTCAAAATATTTCCATGTGTTTATTATGCTTATCTCCCAAATATAAGTTAATATTCTTTATAGGTAAAGCGCCAATCGCCAAAATAATTGAGGGAGAATGGAGAGGACACCTATCCCTGCTGTCTAAGACACTGTTTAGCGAAAGCAATAACATTGGAGCATGGTCACAGCACTGCTGGGCTGACGTGTCACTCGCTGGAGACCCAGTCGCACTAGTGTTTGATAAACTAAATAATGTTAAAGGAGACAAGAGACTATAGTGGTGGACACTGAGGTCTTGCCTTCTCCCCTTCTTACTCAACAGTATTATCAGTGACTTAAGATTACTTATGGTGCTTTGAAACTAGTAAGAAACAAGAGATGATAAAGACAGAATCCAAATCAGGTAATCAAATGTAGGAGAAACACAGAACTAAAGTTCCTGAGATTAATTTAACAAGGACAAATGCAAAGATCTAAAATCCAACCTATAAATACACATGTACAGTTTTTGAGACATTATTAATTTGTTTCACAAAGAACTGGGGTTTTTCTATGCCCTAGAGAAATTTTTTAAGAGAAAAATTCAATAAAGCTGTTATACAAACACATAGCCCATCAGACTGCTTAGCTTTCCTTTACAAGAGCTGATAGATCATACTGGAATTTAGGTGTCGAGTTCTGAGCCCTGATATTAAGAGGGATATCAATTTCTACAGAATATGTTCACAGCAGGGAAAATCAACTGAAGAAAGATTCTAGAATTTATTTATTCTTGCATCCAAACATTCAAATATATTTATTAAAAATCTATTTCATAGCAAGCAGTTGGAATATAATAGTGAACAAAGCAGAAAGTTCAGATAACCAGCACTGGCTATAATGAAGCTTCAGAGACAATAGATACAGTCTACCTGACTCCAGAGCACATACTCTAGTTCCTCTACTGCTTTGCTTTTCATAATTTGGTGCTCTTCATGTTGTCCTAGTAAATTTATTATCTTATTAAAAAAATAGTGTTCTTCCTAATGACATGCCTCCTTGTGTAGCACTGAGGCTATTGCGCCTCTTTGTTTGCTTGAGGAGGTCTCACTTGATGATTGATGTTTCAGCGTAACTATTAATCGTTCCTCCTACACACACACACACACACACACACACACACACACACACTCACACACACACACACAATCTCAGTTTGGACAATAAATAATTTGGTCTCCTTACCTAATGCCATGATGCCATTTCATTTCAATGCAGTGCATAACTTGAATTGAACAGCTATTCGCTGCTAAAAGGAACAACTGTTAAGTAGGGCTGTGTGTGGTAGACCTTTGGCTCAAGTTGCAAGAGTGCCATCACCATGTAGCTATGCTCTTCCTGGGCATAGGAATGAGTGATGCTAGCCTGACACGGTCTGGGCACACAGGACTTTGCACTATTTCAGGACTAAGTGATGTATTCCAAATATCAGTCATTCTGTTCATGCAGTTTGCACTCTCTGTAATGCCCGTCTTCTGTCCACTGGACTTTCTCAACAGTTCTGTGAGAAAAATTAAGTCCTAATGCTCTAAAAGGGGTATTGTATGTAATGAATTTTCTGAAGTGTATCTAGAATGGCAGTAATTACATAAATCCTTGGAGAAACAAACAAAAAAAAAAGTTGCCAAAATTAGTTTTGATGCTCTGTAGTGAACATGAGGGACCACTTCATTGTATCTTTTCATCAATATATTTTCTGTCTGTATTCGGCAGTTTTCTGCATTGGTATAAAGGAGTCCCTGAAACTGAGCAATGTACAAAGAAAAGAGGCTTATCTGGCTCACAGTTCTGCAGGCTGTACGGGAAGCATGGAGGTTTCATCTGCTTCTGGGGAGACCTCAGGAAATTTACAAACATGAAGGAAGGTGAATGGGGAGCAGGCGTCTCAGTTGGTGAAAGCAGGAGCTACAGTATAAGGAGGTGCCACAGTATTTTAAACCACAGGTCTCTGGAGAACTCACTCATCTTCAAAGGGATGACACCAAACCATTCAGGAGGGATCTGCCCCCATGATCCAAACACCTCCCACCAGGCCCCACCTCCAACACTGGGGATCACATTCGAGTTTTGGAGGGAACAAACATCCAAACTATATTACTGTCATCACAAATTTCTTGGCAAAATAAGCTCTAGATCAGTGCTTCTCAACCTCTACATGCTACAATGATCTGGAAGCTTTAAAATAATAATGATGTTCAGGTTCTATCAAAAAAGACATCAGGGTCTCCAGCACAGAATCTAAGCATTACAATGCGTCAGCTGCTTCCCCAGGTGGCTGAAACATGCACACAAGAAGGAGAAAGCCTTCTGTGAACAAGTGACTGTGAGGAAACCAGGCATCCACCATACCCCAACCTTCAACCTCTAGGTGTGGGGGAGGGGTGGCTACAAAACTTACTTTATGCCGATGAAAATTTAAAGCCCTCACAGACAAGCAAGGCTTGTCCATTTATGACTGTATATGACTAGGAACTGTGAACAAATCAATTTTCCATTGAAGTACGAGGATGTAATAGAAGATCAAAAAAGTCAAGTGAGAACCAAGAAGTTGCATGTTTCTGCTCTACTAAAAGATGAAAGAAATTGACTAATTGCATAGCCAATTTGAGAATTCTACAACTGTCATATTCTGAATAAGAGGTCTAGTTTCAGTTCTGTATAATCTCTCCCATTTTATAGTGAGTTGAACATTATTGTGTTAAAATGCAAAGACATCTTAGTCAGTGGACTCTGGTATTTCAATTTCTGTATTTGTGAAATTAGGAATTTTATATCAGTTGACTATAGCCTGATTATCATTGACACATCAGAAGTTAATGCTCACTTTTACTTCTTTCTCAGTCAGTGACGTGGGATCTTTTCTCTGTCTACCCGTAAAGATGGAGAACAGGTAGAGTTTACACTAACCAGAAATTTATGGTACCCCAAATTGTAGAAGGAGACCACATGATTTGGATGCGGTTATTGTTTTAGATTTTACAGTCAGTTTATTTTGCCAGCCTACCTCTCCTGAATCACTAAGTGACTTCTGCTTTTCCAAAAATAAACAGCAATACATGCTTACAGATAGAGTACAACTTACATCACTGGACCTAAGTCATGGGAGCAGAGCTATGAAAAGAGGCAGCATCACAGCGGAAGAAAACATGGAGTTGAAAATCAGCAAACCTTTCTTTAAATTCTAGCTCTGCCACTTACTACCAGGGACCTTAAAAGACTGAAATATCCTCTTAATTATATATTTGCCCCATTTTGCAAAGGCAGAGAATATTTTATCTCAAAGCATCCTTGTAAGACTTCAATAGGGCATTGAATATACTGTAAAGAGTTCAGCTGAAGGCCCAAAACATAGACAGTGCTCAGTAAACCAAGTCATCATTATCAATCTTCACATGAGAGAGGGAAGTGCAGACCCTGAGGTGGCATAGTGACACCACCTGGCCATATCCCTTCTTCTGTGACACAGATCTTCTCAGCTTTATTGCCTCGAAATGGCCACAGTCACCAAATAACAGTGGACTTCTGGAGGTAACACGTATGTTTAAAGGATGCTTTTCTTGGCCCCGCACGGTGGCTCACCCATGTAATCCCAGCACTTTGGGAGGCTGAGGTGGGTGAATCACGAGGTCAAGAGACTGAGACCATCTTGGTCAACATGGTGAAACCTCGTCCCTACTAAAAATACAAAAATGAGCTGGGCGTGGTGGTATGCGCCTGTAGCCCCAGCAACTTGAGAGGTTGAGGCAGGAGAACTGCTTGAACCTGGGCGGCAGAGGTTGCAGTGAGGCTAGATGGGGCCACTGTATTCCAACCTGGTGACAGGGCCAGACTCCATCTCAAAAAAAAAAAAAAGAAGATGCTTCTCCATAGGTGTTCTCCTGGTTCTACGATGGGCTTAGTAAGATTTGCTGTGGAGTGGGTAGCCTTAGCAACTTAGCATCATTTATAGTTTTGCCTCTATTAGAAACATGTGGACAAAAAGCCCAAAGTATCAAAAAGAGTCCTATCTGTTGAGGAACAAAATAGCCACGTTCCTATAATTTTGGCCCTAAAACAAATCATTGAGATGTTTCATGGGTTTTAAAAATCTTTTCCAGCTGTGGAGCTGAGAAGATTTTAAAAAGAATAGCATCTTAGAGGCTGATTAGAAAAAAAAAAAAAAAAAAAACCCAAAAGTCTAGTTAGCCCAAAATGATATCAGCCGACGCACTGGAGGTGTTTTCCTTCATTAAATTAATATATGCAGACAGCTGTTTTGGCTGTTTCGTCTTTCTCCGTGGTAAATATGTGTCTTAAATGGCTACTCCATGATTATATAGGGATGTAAAACTTTATATTCCACTCATGAAATAATTACATTTTGTTTTAACCGGCTAACAAATGTATCCGTATCAGTGCAGTTACTAGCCCAGCCAATCGCTGCCTTAAGAAAATTATTACAATAGTTCTTGAGCTTTTTTAGTTCATTCAAACGGGCTGATTGTTCCGTGTTCTTAAAGATAAAAAGGAAGGACTTGAAATAGGTAACAGCCTGATGCCTGAGATGTGGGAGCTTCTGGTAAGTATTTACATCTTTCATAACAAAAGAGTGTGAGAAGGAATGAAGGGGCAAGGATGGGGGGAAGATGCTGTGTAAACAGAACCATCATCTGACAAGAGAACAGCCACTTCTCCATGTTCTTAGGAAGCCGTTTCTGTGACCTGCTTAACCTGGGTCTGAGTTTCCTCATTGCTATGGCGGATGAACATCATGGCAGCAGTTCTACAGAGCTGCAAAGCTGCGGCCCAAGAGAAACTGGGCTGTGTGTGACAAACAAACCTGGGTAAAGAGTTCACCCTGTTAGAGACACCATCTTTCTAAAACTGGATCGAGGCTTTTTCTTCAAGGGCAAGAAACACCAATGGCCACAGTAAGCAAAACAATATCAGCCACTGAATTTTCTGCATGGATTAATAGATTTGTTCTGTAAGTCATTTACTCTTAATACGTTTTTAAATAACTGCTTAAACCTGTTCTCAGAAATAAGATTGGCAGTTACAATTAATAGCTCAGAATATTTTCCAAAGAGAAAATTCACTTTGCTGAGAAAATAAAGGAAGTAAATAATTTTTGAAAATCTCTTTGAATCTAGACTTTTTTAAAGGTAAAATCCATTGATGTAATACAAGGATAACCATTATGACTAAGCGGGGATTATTCCAGACAATGTGACTGGTTTAATCTTTGAAAATAAATTTATGTTATTCACCGTATTAGCACAGAAACAGGAAAATAAAGCAAAACAACGATTTTTAAACCTGTGATCATTTTAGTCAATGCAGTAAAAGCATTTGAAAAAGTTCAATATCCATTCATCACAATAACTGTCAGCAAACAACAAATAAAAAGAAACTTCCTCTACTTTACAATAAGCATCTACCAAAAAATTAACAACTAGCATCATAGGTAACAGTGAAATGCTGAACATTTTCCCCCTAAAATTAAGAACAAGATAAGGATGCCCATTCTCATCACTTTTACTTATCATTTTACTAGAGTTCCTAACTAGTACTGTAAGGCAAGAAAATTTCAAAAAAGCATAAAGTTTAGAAAGAAGAAATAAAATTGTATTTACAGATGACATGATTGTTTATGTAGAAAATCTAATTTATCTTTAAAGTAATTACAAGAATTAATGTAGAATGCAAGGCCAGTAAGCAAAAATCCATTTTTGTTTTACATAGTAACAGTAAATTTTTGCTCATCAAGAGACTATATTAAGAATGTAAATAGCCAAGACATGACTTGTCAAAATATTTGAAAGGCATATATCTGAAAAATAACTGGTATCCAGGATGTACAAAGGACTTCTACAACTCAATTATAAAATGATAAGCAACCCAGTTAAACGAATAGGCCTAAGATCCAACCAGACGCTTCACTAAAGAAGAGATGTATAAGGAAGAACATGAAAAAGTGTTCAACATCATTACTCATTAAAGAAATGCCAATTAAAAGCACAGTAAAATACCATCACACACTCAGCAAAAGGGCTATATTTGTAAAACAAAAACGAATACCACCAAAACCTGCCTCACACGCAGGGGCATACTGACTATCCCGAATTGTCATTAGGGGTCAAATAGTCCAATCACTTTGAAAAACGACCAGGTGACTTCCTATAAAACTAAATCACAGGACATATGCATATGCATGTCCTGTGATTCAGTTTTTCAACACTCAAGTATTTTCTTTAAAATAAATAAAAAAGGACCACACAAAACTTGTAAGAGAATGCTTATGGCAAATTATTAACATGGTTCATGATTGTCAAAAACTAGAAATCGTCTCAGTGAGCCTCAACAGGAAAATGTCTGAACAAATCATGATACAGACACACAAAAAGTTGCTCTCTAGACATAAAAAGGAAGAGGCCACTGACATACCACACCATGGGAATATCTCCAAAAATGTGACTGGAATAGACTTTACAGAAGAATGCATCCTCTACAATTCAACTTAGAAAAAATGCCAAAGTGAATGCATGGGGGATCACGCCAGAGAAGGAAAAGGATGATGAGAACGTTCTTGGCAGTAATGGTAACATTCTAAAAATTTATGTTTGTATTACACTGGTTTACGCATTTGTTAAAATACAGCAGTAACTTAGGATTTGTGCACCACTTCATTTAATGAACATTCTACCTCAAAGAGAAAAAGGGAGAGAGAGCAAAAGCAAAGTAAATATTGACCATTGAAGCATTTATTGATGAACTGTACTGATGTCAGTTTGAATACATCGAAATTGACAGAGGAACAAATTAATGTATATAAAACAAACATAGTAAAATGTTAGTTACATAATATAGGTGATGGGTATGTGGACATCCAATGTATTTTTGAGTTTTTCTACGTGTTTGTAAATGATTGAGTCACCTGAATACATTTTAAAAATTATACACTTTGAAATGTATCTTAAATTGCATGACTTGATTATAAAAGTAGGATTCTAGAAATACCAAGGTTAATATAAGTCAAATGTTCCTTAAGAAAGAAAATTCATCTTTGAAAAGGAACCAAATCCCATTTCTTTTCCAGATGTCCCAGATATCCTACTTTGAAGAGGAAAATGTATACTTTTTATTTTGGACAAGAACATTTAAAAGTTTATCTGCTTTGCCTAAAGTTGAGAATTGCTGGTTTTGTAAAGTGATAAAGGGATTAGAAACATTATTGAGAAATAACTTCTATAATGCCTTCCAAGACTGCTCTAAGAAACAGAAATAGGCAGAAAAGTATCTCTTATGTTGCAATCTAACATGGTTTGTTTTAAATTTGCAGAACTGAACTTAAGAATAGTATAAAGGGTGTCAATGTTTGAGTTGTAAAAAAGACTACTTGACAAGGTATGCCAGCAATAAAATCTTAGACATGTCACAGTCGTTCATTTTAATGTATATTTTATCTTTTTGGTATTTTTGTTTGAATTCAGAGATGTCATGTATTAGAAATAAAAGTAGAGAGAAAGAAAATTCACACAAACAACCCATCAGCTAAAACACACACACCTTTTTGAGAATTCACAAATTGTTATACTTTTATATTGTGCATATTTAATGCTTGGCAACCACAGTTCTGGGGTAATTGGTCATCTCATTGGAATCAATCTATGTGTTAATTTAGTATCCAGAGCCTAAAGAACAGAGAAAATATTTACTCTGAGAACCTCAACCCTCATACTTAGTGCAATATCACATCCATCTGGCTGATGTTGGAGTTCTAACATTTAACAAAAAATACAAATCAATTTCCTAGAAGGAAAATGGTGGGAACACTTCCTACCAGCAGGACCAGCACAACAAACGTTTCTCTGTCTTCCCCTTTAAACCTAGTTTCACCAATACTCAGTTCTTGCCACTGCTTCAGCTTTGCTGTTGTGGATATTGATATGTGGGACCAGTTCTTCACAGTGAAGAATGACATTTCCTAGCTATCTTAAAAATATATCACTTGCCCTTGGATTGCGGTTTTAAGGAAAAAAAAAATCTTGCCTATAGGAAGAAGGGCTCCCCTCCAAATACACTATGGTCCCATCCCCTTTCCACATTCTTTCTCTCATGTATTATCTTTCTCTAATTAGATAGATCTCATTAATCTCAAAAACTCTCAAATTTATTATTAGGTAAATTTTCTTTCATGTAGATGGAGATAAACCAGTCACTCCATTTTCAGGGTATGCGTCATGATGTCAGCACTTCTTTGTCTTCTGAACTTATTCCCAGTAAACCACCTTGACAGTGACACTAGGTTTTTGTTGCCAAAGTACATACATTTACCTGGAATATTGTGAGTTTTTTCTGAGTAGTACAAAGAGAACGTCAGAGCAGGAAGTCAAATATCTCACCCTTGGCTGGATTATTCTTCGACCGTTGGCAAAATCACAAAGCAAATTAAAGGTCATTGACAATTTAAGAGAAAAATGACTACCTGCTTTAATTTTATGTATGTTTTAATATTTGGACTTAAAATACTTTAATATTTCAGAATATATGATTCTGTCCATTATAATTGCAGTTCAGTTTATGCAGAATTAGAGAATAGAAAGAAGACATCCAAGGAATTTTCTAGTTCAACACCCCTAGGTTATTGATGAGGGGTTTGTGGTACATACTTAGAAACTCTGAGCAATATTGACTAATTTCTCTACGTATTTTTGTAATAAAATTAAAAACTTTGCCAACAACAGAGGGGTCCTGTACTTATCTGAGTTGAGAAAAGGGTTTTATGAGAAACATGGTGGGGGGTTGGGGTAGTTGTGGAAGATGAGAGAAACATATTAATTCATGTATAGAAATATCACTTCAATACCTTTGCTTTGATTAAGGTGTGTTAAAGTTTCATACACGTGGCACGATTAAGCCTGCTTGCAAGAATTCCTTCATTCATTCAACAAATAGGTATGTGTCACATTCCTTCATTTATTCAACAAATAGTTACTTAGCATCACTCCATGTAGTGTTCCAAGTGTCAGAGAAGTAGCAGAAGACATTTTCTAAAGTCAGCAATAATGTTTGGAGTGAGTCTTTCAAGAAAGAGAAGGGGACGGCGTGTTCTCTGGGAGAGTAGTAGGTCGATTGCTGAAGCCTAACGTGTGAAGGAGGGGTAATTAAATACTAGAAAACTGAGCATCTGCTGACTCCGCAACTGTTTTTGCAATTTATTCTTATTTGTAAGGATGGTGATATAGAATCTTGCTTGAAATTGGATTTTTGTGAACTAACCAAATTCTCCAAGTTAAAATCTAGGCATTTTTGTCAATTTCAGTCATCAGGCTGACCCTGTCTCACGGTTCCTATGCTAGGTTGTTGTCCAAGGAGCTCCTTCAGAGATGGCCTTCTTCTAAATTTATGATGAGCTTTTCAGTTACAATTTTTGGCAGCTTTGGTATAAATAAACAAATCTTC